TGAAACATACCTCGAGATACAGTCTCTGACTGTGTGCGACGTCTGTCGAACTCTCCGCTTTGGCAGGGAGGAACCCGGACGAGGCTTTGCCGAAGGGTAAAGTTTCGTCCGGGGAGGTAGACAGTTCCCGAACCCGCTTATGCGGGTTCAAAGGGGATATTTTTTGGCTGAGCCTACAGGCTCGGAGAAACCCACTTTAAACTCGGCCTTGTGCCACATATATTCCTCGTGGGTGAAATATAAATACTGTTATACAACGAAACAATCTGTTTGTGGATGACAATATATATATATATATATATATATATATATGCTCGCAGATGTGTGTGTGTGTGTGTGTAAAATGAGAACGAATAGATTACAATTCCGACGTTTGTAACATTCAATTTAAAAGAGGGCTCAATACAAAAGTAGAACAATAATCTTTATTTTAAGATATTACATCAAACAAAAATATGTAAAAATAAACGCTAGTCAAAATATATATATATATATATATATATATATATATATATATATATTTGTGACTGAAAGGGATAATTCCGAGGAGGATATAAATCCAGGTAGAGCTCAATGTAGACTACAGAGCATTTTAATGTTAATAAGACGGAGAATGTAATTAACCATTTCGTTTATAATTTTTATTTCGTTAACACCGAGATGCTCAGCTCATCAGAATTAAACTTTCTCCGCGAATGGAGCAAGTCCACCGGACGGACACTTTAGATTTGTAGCGGGGACGGAAGGTATGAGAGAAGGGCTGCGTAAAGATAGGGCTAAGAGATTAGTGGTTGGTAGTAGTCGGTTTCCTCGACCAAGAATTTACTCTATACATTTTAGATTTTAATGTTGGGTTGTATGTTACATTGGAATACCGTTTGCTGTTTTTATGCAGGATAAATCAGGTCGATTCAAATTAATTTAATTAAAGGGATCTTAATCTAAATAAAATTCGGTATTATTATAGTAATACTTAAACATTTGTTTTTAGGACGAAGTCTGATAGTCAGTGGGACATTGAGTTGAGGGGAACGCAAGAGAGAGATATAGAAGGAGTGGGAAGAAGAGGGTGAGAAGGAAAAGTCAGATTAGTGGTAGCTTTAGCAACCTGACCTGCCCAGATATTTCTTTATTTTTGGAACTATGTAAATAGTTTTATGCAGTGGGTTGATTGTTATGAAGTTGTCCCTAGTACAAATAATAATTTTGAAATCTCAATAATATTGTCAGGTACAATAGGTAGATACAGCAAATAAATTTAGAGAATTAAGAGATGAATAGATATTCAGAAACAGTTACCAAACTTACGGAAAAAAAGCTATGGATTATGGAAATTCTATATGATGTGTTAGTGTCCCTGCATAAAAACAGCAAACGGTATCGGCTAAAGTAAAAAAAAAAAACAACCCAAAAACATTAAAATTAAAAAGTATAGAGTAAATTTCTTCGTTGTGGAAACCGACTACTACCAACTACTAATCTCTTTCCTCTGTATTTACCCAACCCTTCTCTCTCATTTTCACTCCCCACTACAAATTTAAAGTGTATGTCCGGTGTACTTGCTTCATTAGCGGAGAAGGACGAAATGGACAATTGAAGTCTCCGTCTTCTTATCAATATATATATATATATATATATATATGTGTGTGTGTGTGTGTGTGTGTGTGTGTGTGTCTAGGTCATCAATGTTTGGCGGAATCATTACAATATTTAACTAAATATACTAATGGTATAACTTAGAGGCTAAAATGATTCCTTTACTTTAACTAAAATATATAATATTTAAAAATCTCTGCCCATGAAATAAAAAAAAAACACATTTTGGTATTTGTTGTGGTACGATCCACCTAATTTACATAGTGGAGTACCGACCATATAAATATGGTTGGTACCGGGAAGACGAGGGGAGGAAGTAAGAAGAGATCCAATCCAGAGACTCTGCCCGACTGCGATTAAGTCAATCCATTCTACAGGAACAGTCTTCCCAAGAATATACCAAAACTAACTGTAAATATTGTGTACCTTTTCCTTGTTTCAATACATTTTGTTTACGTACATTTTGTGTTGTATTATTATTATTCCAAGCTTATCCAAGCTTCAACAGTATTTCAATATTAATTGTGATGATTCTATAAAAATAAACATTTATTTATAAAAAAAGACTTTCCAGACATGTTAGAAAAAAGAACGAGGACAAAATCTTTGATATATTTGTCTGTTTATTGACTCTTTCAAATTTTTATTGTTTTATAGCCTGGTTATCAACTCACTGATGTTAGAGATAAGACTATTTGACTGATATCGTATTTTTTTATCACTACCCCAGTTAACTACCTCACACCAAACCTCCAGTCGATGAGTAAAGCTACACTTTCTTTGATTTTAGCCAACTTTAAGTCGGGCTAAATATAATTTGCCCTTTTTCAACGATATATTCCGCAAAAGAATCTATACGGAATAAATAATAAAATCTGTAACTTTTATTTTTTAAATGGAAATTTGAAAACAATAAGTTAAAATAAAAATATATTCTTTTAAAAACGGGGCATGCAAGCCATTAGAGATTTTTAAAAGATTATTTATAAAATTAAAGCAAGGAATACATTGCCTATGAAGTATGTTAGGTTGTAGCGTTTTATTTAGAGCTCTAACACTTTCACCCCGGCCCCTCAACCTCCAGCGTCTTACTCCTGGGGTTGAGGTGTCTATTCGGTCTTAACTGAACTTAAGGGAGTGGCTATAGGTCCCCTGAGCATTCGTAGATTATTCGATCGGTACGCTGGTTTAATCCTGCTTCCTGCCCACGTTGTGATTTGTTTGATCCAGAAAGCAGAAGTGATGTCCGCCCATTCACGGTCGACTGAAGATGTAGACACGGCTGGGGAGTCAGCGCTAAGAAATTTAGAATGCAGCAAAAAAATAAATAATATCTGCAGAAAGCCGGACAAACATCGATTCAATGGTTGAATTGTTAATGTCTTATATATAGCAGAAAAGAATAGTAGAGAAGAGAAACGGGTTACAGAAAAGAAAAGTAAAAAAAAACAAAAACTCATACACTGGATTCTAGATAGAAAGAGAGAGAGTGTATGTGATTATCTTGTTAAATCGTCTCAGAACGATATATGGCTCTTGCGATGGAAGGATAAAAATTTCTGTGCGGGGCTTAATGTTATAGTGGCGTTCCTCCTCCCAACGCTCGCCCGGGCCAATTCTCTCTTCAAGAATTTGGCTGCTTCAACCAAAATCATGTGAATTCCAAAGTTCCTTCTAGCTTACTCAGCTCTATTTTAATTTTTAATCGAAAAAAATTATTTCGGCCATTTTCATTGTCTCCTGATGACCCAGATTCAATGGGTACAACTTCAGCCCTATATCAGATTTCCCCATCAGTAAACAAAATGCTCTGATTTAATTTCGCTATTCAAATCTACTCCAATTTCACTAAAAAAAAAAATATACGTGTGTGTGTCTGTGTTTCCCAGACTATCTCTTTGTCACAATGCAGTCCGTTTATAACTAATTCAGTTTCATATCTGTCTAACAATTAATTAATTAATTAATTAATTAATTAATGGTCTACTGTGTAAGGACGGCAATAAGAAAAAAACACCTCCATTTGAATTGATTAACGCTAGACAATGTTCCCACGACTCTGTAGTGAAACGCCCATTTGGCATATTAACAATTTATAAATACTGGCTGATAGTTTGTACCGCTGCGTCAGCTCATTCTATCGCTCCAGAAAGTAACTGATTCCTTCGGACATGCTTTATCTTTACAAGAGTCAGATTAGACCAAAAAAAGGTGAATTGCTGCTATATCTGGGCTGGAGTTGCTTCGGCTCATTCTATCTCACCAGAAAGTACCTGAATCCTTCTGCCACGCTCCATCTTTACAAGAGACAGATTAGACTCAAAATGGAGTATTGCTGCTATATCTGCCTGGAGTTGTTTCGGCTCATTCTATCTCTCCAGAAAGTAACTGACTCCTTCTGCCCAACGTTATCTTTACAAGACTCAGATTAAACCCAAAATGGAGTATTTCTGCTATATCTGGGCTGGAGCTGTTTCGTCTCATTCTATCTCTCCAGAAAGTAACTGACTCCTTCTGCCCAATGTTATCTTTACAAGAGTCAGATTAAACCCAAAATGGAGTATTTCTACTATATCTGGGCTGGAGCTGTTTCGGCTCATTCTATCTCTCCAGAAAGTAACTGACTCCTTCTACCATTCTTTATTTTTACAAGAATCAGATTACATTTATAAATTGATTATTGCTGCCGTGTCTGTCATGGAGCAGTTCAATATTGTCATTCCAACTTCATGGAAGTTCAAAAGCACTGGCGCGACATTCTGTGTGATGAATTGTTTTTCATTCTTTTATAGGCTTTTGTTAGCCTATCGCTTTTTCATGATACATCTTCAGACGCACTATATTCTTTGGTGCCACCCATTCACACCTTTTCAACTACGACTCACCAGCAGGCGTAGAATGAGTCCAATGTACTCCATACGTATGATTTCAAATTCCACTGATCTGGAGGAAGTTCGCCCCAGAGAGCATTCGTCCCCAGATCTGTTGCACCGTGGAACAGAGTCTCGAGAGAATATTTCCCCGATCGTTACAAACGTAACATCTTCAATTGCAGGGTCAAACGTTTATCTATCCTACATATCCTCATAAATGGCCCTCTCAATCTATCCTTTTACGCTCTTACGAGAACCTGATTTAGTAAACCTCTACTTTGAGTGGCTTTCAAGTCTTGTATTTAGCGTTAAAAAAAACAAAAAAATATAAAACAAAAACATCCATTCATTTACATTTTAGAGGTAAAATAATTTGAATATTATCATAAAAATATGGTACCTCGAATTGTATAAATCGTTCAGTTATACAGAGATATAAAAAATTGGGTGTGGGGTCAGAAAGATACAAACAGAGAAAAGAAGACTCCATTGTGCTGTACTGGGTTGGCAAAAGCTAATATTATAGGGGGTTTACATATTTGTATCCGTATGTTGTAACAGGCTAGGTTTAAACAATGTATGAGATATAAACGGGTGAAGATAAATAAATAGATAGATAGATGGAGGAGTTAAAGTTTGAAATGGATAGATAGATAATGAAAAGATTTTGTAGATAAATAAGGAAAAGAGATAGATAGATAGATAGATAGATAGATAGTGAACAGAATGAGATAGATAGATAGATAGATAGATAGAAAGATAGATAGATAGATAGATAGATAGATAGATAGTGAACAGAATGAGATAGATAGATAGATAGATAGATAGATAGATAGATAGTGAACAGAATGAGATAGATAGATAGATAGATAGATAGATAGATAGATAGATAGATAGATAGATAGATAGATAGTGAACAGAATGAGATAGATAGATAGATAGATAGTGAACAGAATGAGATAGATAGATAGATAGAAATATGACACTTTGTGTATCCTCCCACAAGAATGAAATATGGGGAACCGACGTAAATGCGCGATTGGCGACACACATTTATCAGCTTCTTAAGTATTCCCTGGATACTCCCCATATATATATATATATATATATATATATATATATATGCGTGTGTGTGTGTGTGTATGTATGTATTTATCTCTCTCTCTCTCTCTCTCTCTCTCTCTCTCTCTCTCTCTGTGTGTGCATGAATGAACAGACTGAGACAGATAGCTAAATAAATTCGTAGGTTTATTCTATATGATCGCAGAGAAGTAGCCAAAATTGAGATAGAAAAAGATGCAATGTGAGAAGGAAAAGCAAAAGATGCAATGTGAGAAGGAAAAGCAAGTCAAGCTCTTTGGAGGGATTTGTAGCGTGGCGAATAAAAAGTTTGAGTAGGCGACTAGTGTAGATGGACGTTGTAGTAGCTAGCCAGCCCTACTTTTCTCCGCGGAGGTCGACGCAGCAGGCAAACAACTCCGACACTCAGCGACGCGGTGTAATCGCTTCTCTGCGTAGACCAGCAGTCTCCGACGGAAGTCCCGATAAAATTACGATGCCTTGCCTCTGGTCTTCCGACTCCACTCGGCTTAGACAGACGCAGTCGATCCTTTCTTTTATTCCTTTTTTTTTTTTTTTTTTTTTATTTTCTTTTTTTTTTTACTTTTTTCGGTTTTTACACACTCACCATCTCCACTTCATATTTGGTGTGGCCTGATGCACTGGCTTTTCTCAAATCTTTTTCACTTGCTCGACCTACACGTAAACGCAAGCCGAGTCGCGCATGCGCACAGAAACTAATGCATACATTCACCTATATCAGCTTATGATGATATATATAGTCACAGCTATGTAAAATATCGACACATAAACGCACATCCTTAAAAACTGAATATATACACGCATAGACGCATCGAAACATGTTCACATGCACACAATAACGCACACTTAAATTTATATAAATTTTAGTTAAACGTGTGTCCGAAAAAATTTTATAAACCATATTATTAAACTATATATCGTCTACTTCATCATCATCATCATCATCGTGGTCATCATCATCATCATCGTCATCATCATCGTCATCATTATCATCATCATCGTCATCGTCGTCATCATCATCCCCATCATCGTCATCGTCATCATCGTCATCATTATCATCATCGTCGTCGTCGTCATCATCATCATCATCGTCATCATCGTCGTCATCATCATCGTCATCATTATCATCATCATCGTCATCGTCGTCATCATCATCCCCATCATCGTCATCGTCATCATCGTCATCATTATCATCATCGTCATCGTCGTCATCATCGTCATCATCATCATCATCATCGTCATCGTCAGTACCTTGGTTGCTTCTGTCGTTGTGAAGACCTAAGGGCAGAAGAACAGACAACCTCCTCCAAGGATGATTTGTTGGCGGCGGCCCTCAGGAGTTCCGACATTGTTATGTCCGTCCATACTTTGATGTCTGATCAGCTTTTTCGTTGCCGTCCCCACTTGCGCCCGCCTTCACGAGTAACACTGCATGATGGTCTTGCAGTGGCTGTTAAGCCGTGTCACGCGGTCAAACCATGATATCTTCCAACGGACCACAAAACATCCGATCTTGCTCCGTACATAGTCATTTTGCGCTACCAGTAGAAGATATGGAAGAGCTTTCTCCAGCCTTTGTTATCGAACGCATGGATCCTTTTTCCTGTCTGGACCAAGATTGTCTAGCGATTTGTAGAGCTTGAACTTTTTCTGAAAGCTGATGTTGATCTCCCATATATTTTCCAGACTAGCCAGAACTTTTTCATCCAGAAAAGCTCCAGAAGCTGATGTTGATCTCCCATATATTTTCCAGACTAGCCAGAACTTTTTTCTCCAGAAAAGCTCCAGAAACTGATGTTGATCTTCCATATCTTTTCCGGACGAGAAGAACCTTTCTCTCCTGATGATGACCATGCTGGCCGAAACTAGTGAACAAATCTAATTCAAATAATAAAACGAAACATTATTAGTATACAACCCAGTGTGTCTGTAAATTTCAATTTTCTAATATTTTTTATTGTTCAAAACACACACACACACACACATACACACACACACACACACACACACTGTTGCGAGTGTGGCGAACCGTGTGCGGATTTTTACCTTTCAGGTGCTGTCTTTTGACTGGGTCGTTCGCAAGTATTTGAAGCTGGACACTTGCTCCGTTGGTTCAACGTCCATGGTGACACCGGCACTTATGCTGCTTGTGCTATTCACTATTTCTTTGGATTTTTCTTGCGACGGTTCTTTTAACGACTCTGTTGATCGTGTCTTGCAGCCCACTCTTAAGATCAATATCGAAAAGAGAAGGTTGCAGACAGGTTTACCATCGATAGTGATTGAAGTGTTATGGTAATGGAGGGTTTCCTGCAGAATCATTCCCAGAAAGAGGCTGAAGTGTTGGAGAGTAGGCATTCCTGTCCAACGCCGATAATCGTCTGGAAGAAATCTTCTACTTGGCCACTCAAGAGAACTGCACTGGTGACATGGTTGAAGATGACTAGTATGATCCCTTTTTGTATGTTGAATCCTCTAAGGACGTGCCAGAGGCCATCATGCCATACCCGATTAAATGCTTTCTTGAAATCAATAAAATTGTGGGACAGGTCCCTCTGGTTTTACAGATGTTTCACGATGATGACCCCTACAGTTAAAGATTTTTCCACTGTTCTTCATTCGGTACTAAAACCTGCCAGATCTTTTGGTAGTAGTTCTTCAACTTGAGATTTTTAAACGGCTGAAGATATTCATAAACCTTCTCAAATTTAAATGCCTTGATAAACCAATGACATCCTTGTTCTTGTATATAAACAAGTGCAACAAAATAAATTCATACATTTGCCTTGATAAAGTCCCTCAGAGAACGAAACGCGTCGGCTATGAATATTTTTCACTCGTGTCTTTTTATTCACACACACACACACACACACACACACACACAAACCGATAAATTCAACTTTTTTTCCTCCGATTTCGTTCAGATTCAGTATGTAGATTACTTACATCATGACGAGCTCAATGATATCTCCTTTTTATATCCATGCCACTGCATTTAACGAAAAAACGCGAAAAACCAAAAATCGATTTCAACGCAAATCAATTTCAACACAAATTTAAAACTAAAAAATCCCTCACTTTTCAAGCAATCTAATGCAAACTTCACTCAGTTGTAGGCAACAATACGTTAATTGTTTAACAGTCATTTAACTTGATAATTGAGTCCACCCATTTAGTGAAAACCATCGTAAATAGTGAAAAATGGCGATTTTTACTGGGTCCTTTCTTATTTTTCATTGATCTTTCAACCAATTTTCATCAAAATTAGCAATTGTTTTATAAATATATCATCTTTTTACATCCCTGGTAGCACACTGAAAAATTGAATTTCAAAAACTCCAAAATAATTGTGGTCTAAAGTGGACCTTCACGTTGCTTGTTTTATGCCTTCATGTCCTCGGCTAACTTCGATTGAATAAATACAGACTACTTCAGTTATATCAGTAACTACATTAATTCGAGTTGTTTTTTTTTTTGTTTTGTTTTTTAATGGAAGTACTTTAAAATAATTGAAGAAGATAGACTCTGTTACAGCTAAACATAATGCTTTTTTTGCTGCATGCTAATTAAAAATATATATATATTAGAGCTAAAATTTATGTAAATAATAAATATACATCTTTCCTCACCATTAGTATTTATATATGTAATTGAAAAATTTAATTAAACTAAAACAATGTTGTTTTGATGGAATAATATGCAGCGTATCCCAAAATTCTTTAGACAATTTCAAAAAGTCATTACGAAAAACAGAGGTGGCAACTGATTTTTTTTTCTCTTTGGCATATTAGCGTGGTTTCATTAAATTTAATTTAATGATATTAATAGTTTTACTTTTTTTCATTTTCCAGAGGGCATAATTAAAGAATTAAATGTCGCTTCGATGTGCTTCCCTCAACATATGGGACTCATATAGATATGTATTAATAATTTGCATATATATATATATATATATATATATATATATATATATATATATATATATATATATTTGCATATATATATATATATATATATATATATATATAAAAAAAAAATATACTGAAAAAAACAAACAAAAATCCTAATATGCGATTATGCTGTTTTAATGTTTAATGCCAACGTCGGACGTTTCGGTCTAATAGACCATCTTCAGGACATATTCATAAAACATAATTAACATAGACCATATACAATTCAACATGAAAAAAACGATGGACATAAAAGCAATACCAATCCAAACAGATAACTGATATCTTTTATAAGATCAGCGTTCCGTTTAAATATGATCACGTCGTCGTCACGTGGGCGATGTTATATATATATATATATATATATATATATATATTGTATATAGATATTTATTAATTATTTGCATATAAAATTCACTATTTACTTCACATTATGTAAACATTTCAACAGTACCTGTCTATATTTCTGAGATGATGTATTATGTATACTATTTACATTATTCGAACAATTGTCCTCATCTTTGTCGCCATATTTATTACGTTTTCGGCCTTTGTACGCTCCGGCCTTCTTCAGGTGGTTGGAATGTTGAACTGAACACTTTATTTCACTCACTCGGGTAGACTGCTCTCGTTCCACGTGACATGTCTAATGGATGTCAGTTATCAGTTATCTCCTGCTTAATTCCCTTTCCAAGTTCTCCACTACCTTAACCGGGTATTGAACTCACACTCCTCAAGGACAGTGGATAAAGGCGTTAGTTAGATGCAGTGACAGGACCCAAGAAGTGATGATTTTTATGTTATATGATACAGTTCTTTGTAATTATGTAAATCTGGAAACACAGAAAAATATATAAAATGTATACAGAAGTAATAGAATGTTTCTGGAACCTGAGACGCTCAGGTTCCAGAAACATTCTATATATATATATATATATATATATGACTGTTTGAATAACACAAGGACTGACCAAAATTAATAAAAAAGAAATGAAAACTTTC